CAGGAGCCCAGGCTCGGCGAGCGGGCTGCGGCGCTGCCCTGAACCTCGGCGTGTGGCGCCCGCCGCCGCCTCTCCGTAGGGCGGCCCTTCGCGGCGCCGGCCCGGCCTAGACACCTTAAGTCCAAAACACCAACCGCCAGCGGCCCCATGGCAGACCTGGCGGGCGAGCGCCCCTCTGCGCGGCCGGTGATGTTTGGCCCCGTAGCGGCACCGACTCCTAGGAGATGTTAAAGTTCATTTCTTTCGCGAGGCCTTAGAATTTAAGCTGTGCCAACTGAAGAGTAAAGGTAATGAGGTAGAGGAATCACATGTTTAGAACATGATTTATGGTCCACTTTCATTTTTAAACACGTTTTCGAAATAATTTAGGAAATTAAGATTCCTGTAGTACACTTTGGGCAACAGTGTTTATACAAAAAAAAAAAAAAAACATTAGTCATTTATGTGCCTGAGACTGCAAAAACTATGCCCTGCCTTACCAGTCAGGTCTTACCATTTCAGATGACTATACCATGTTTTACTTTAACTTTCTTTTTTTGTTGTTATTAAAATAATTCTCCTTAATAAAAACAGGAAGGGCCGCGAGGTGGCGTGGTGGTTAAGGCACTGGATCACCACATGGTTGGCTACAGTTTGAGTCCCAGACCTGGAGGTTTCCTTTCCTACTTTCCCCTTTCTCTCTGGCCGAATTAAACAAATACTAATGATGATAAAATGAAATAAAACAATTCTTAAAAAGTAAAAATACGGAAAATACAGAAAATGAAAAAAAGTAAATGACTCCATAAACCCTTAGGCAGAGTTGTCTAACCACAGAAATTCAACATCTTTGGTTGTGTAGCGCTCCAATCAGCATTATTCTTTAATCCTTTAATATCCCTCTTTTAAAAAAAATCTGTGCTTATATAGCAATGAAAAATCAATAGCAATTAAAACGATGCAGAAAACCTACTATTAAATATAATCTTTGGGGAATAAACTATTCTAATTCAATTGTTAACCAAGGCTTAAACAGAATACCTTTTGTTTAGAACTTTTTTTACAATCTTTTCCTAAAAATAAGCCAGTAATCTTTACTGATTTAGAATAGTGTAGTGAATATAATTTATTATAATTTGTTATTTTTGTTGCTTGAGGATATTTCATGAGCCTGTTGTGAAGCTCTATGACATAGTCTGTGCCAATGACATAATACTGAGGCATGTAGATAATAGACAGATGTGGCTGACCTGTCATAGACTCTAAAATATAGTTTTAAAAAAGAAATCTCTGATTTTAAATATATATCTGCCAGCTTTCAAAAATGGAGAAAGGTGCCAGGAGTCCAGAAATGTGGGTGTCCTCTGGAAGGTAGAAGAGGCAAGGAAACTGATTCTCCCCTAGAATTTCCAGGAAAGAGAACTGACACCTTGGTATAGCCCAATGAGATAGGTGTTGGACTTCTGATAATAAATTTGTATTGTTGAATGAGTGGTACACCAGCTGCAGGAAACTAATACACATGGACTGGGAAGCATAGTGGAATTGTATAAAATGTGTCCGTTAAGCAAGCTATTAGGATCTTTCAGAAAAAGTTTTATTTTTAAGTGTTATTAATTTAGTTAACCTTTATGAGACTACATCATCCCAACTTTAAAAAAGAGGTTTGAATTAAACCAATGGTTCCCAAGCTTTAGCTTGCTGAGAATCACCTAGAGGGCTTTGTTAAATTGCTCTGCCTCTACCTTCAGAATTTTGGGACCTGAGAATTTGCTTTTTTAACATATTCCCAGGTATTTCACCACTGGTTTAAATCTCTAAATTCCTTTCAAGTTCAAGTGGTCTGATTCTGTGGGCCTACAATTACAAGTTAAAGTATCAATCTCCATATATAAGTATACATCAAACATACTTTCTGGGACCAGCAGTTGATATGATGGCTATGTCGCTGGACTCCCATGTAGTCGACTGCAGTTCGAGCCCTGGACCCAGTGGCTTAAACTCACACCAGGCACATGTGTGTGCATGCCCAAGATCCTGAGAAGAGAGTGGAGGAAAAGGGATTGTGGTGTTGCCATGTCCCCTGAATGGTGATTTCTTGCTTTCTGTCTTTTTGGCTAATGCACGCATCCTATAACAAAAACCTCTTTTAAAAAAAAAAAACAAACGATATTTTCTAAAATCACTGTTCTTCATATGTAATCATTTTATTGATGTTTTCATTTCATCCACTCTCATTCTTTCATTCTGAAACTTTCATTATTTAGATGATGAACTTACTGAAATCTCAAAATTCTAGTTTTCATCACTATTTCATATGATTTTGATCAACTAAGAATTGATGCTATCATATATCTCTTTATCTACTACTCAAGATCTAGAAATTTTCAGATTGAGGACATGCCCTTGAAAATTAGATGTATTTAGTATTTAAATATAAATCCATATTTAGTGTTTACAAATTCTCCATAAGCAGCCCTTCTTTACATAACACATTTGAAGCTTAGGGATGTTGCAAGAATGACTATCGAAAATATGACTGGTTACAAAACCAGTTCTGTGAGTTATGCATTCACTTTTTATTAAAAGTCTAGTATGTCTAAGTTTTATTTTTGCAAAGGCAGTGCTCTGATTATGATTTGCTAAGGATACTATCCAGATCTCCTAACCAACATTTACTGAGCATCTACTGTAAAAATAAGCGGAAACAGACTCCATGACTTTGCCAACATGACTCAGCTACAAAACCGTAGACCTAGGATTTGGGTCCAGGGCCATCTAAACTCCAAAGTTCATGCTCTCTTATTATCATTACCATGTAGTAATAATAAATGAAATGTAATGAGTGGACCTAGAAGCAAACTTTTTAACATAAAATAATGCACAAAAGTGGTCTTCCCAGATCCTTTTTTTTTTTTCCGTGTGCTCTCACCAGAAAGACAGACAGAGAGACAGAAAACGAGAAATCACCCCCCAGGGGGGATGGCCACGCCGCAATCCCTTCTCCTCCATTCTCCTCTGGGGATCTTGGGCACGCATGCACACGCGCCTGCCGTGAGTTTTAAGCCAAGGGGTCCGGGACACGAACCTCAGTTGACTACATGGGAGTCCAGCGACATAGCCAGTATGCAAACTGCTGGTCCCCCAGATCTTCACTGTTGTATTTGCTTAGTTTATTGGAGTCTGCTGATGGCCTTCTCTTTCCAGGCTATTTATGCTTTCCTTCATGTCACCAGTTAATAACAGCAGAAGGAATGTAGTAATGACTTGCAATCTAATTTTCAGAAAGTGCTATTCTGTAATGCTTACTCCAAACTAAAGCTGATTAGGAGTTTGCATTTTTCATTAACTTCACTTTGCAATTTGAACTGCTTCATCTGTTTTGCAGGTCAATAAACATAAGTCTTCAGAGCACAAAAAAAAATGTAGGGATTAATGAGTTTTAGCCTTTAAATACCTTCATTTTATGAGAGACTAAAAGTCTTGCTTTATAATTACCTTTTTTGTCTGCTTTTTTTTTTTTTTTTTTTTTTGTGGGGACTTTTTTTTTTTTTTTGAGAGAGATTTTGCTATAAGGTATGTGCACTCACTGGAGAGATAGACAGAAAGTGAAAATCACCTCCCAGTGGGGATGGCTATGCCACAATCCCTTCTCCATTCTCCTTTTGGGATTTCGGGCATGCACGCATGCACATGTTCCTAGTGTGAATTTTAAGCCACTGGTTCTGGGATTCTAACCATGGTCACCTATGCTGGAGTCCAGAGACATAACCATTATGCCATGTGTGGGTCTTTGGTCTGTTCTTCTTAATAACATTTCATAATAAATACATGCATATGAGATAATCAGTTCTTCTCCCTCTATGCTTGCATTTATGTGTGTATGTGTATAGATAGATTGATATGTATGTTTAGTATTGTTTTTCTTTCTCTCATTTTTTTATTTCTAAAGAACATACTCTAATGCAGATGTTGGCTATTTTCTAAAGCTTTAATTTTTATATTTTGTTGGTCACAGAATATTATTATCATTTTGAAAGATGTTTGTTATAGGGTGTGCGTGCTCTCCAGAGAGACAGACAGAAAGCAAGAAATCGCCCCCCAGGGGGGATAGCCAGGCCACAATCCCTTCTCCATTCTCTAGGGATCTTGGATATGCATGGCCAGTGTGAGTTTGAAGCCCCTGGGTCCACGACTCGCTTCCTGGGAGTCCAGCAATGTAACCATTACGCCATCTGCTGGTCCCAGAGAATATTATATATACATATCTTTTTATTATTTAAATTTATTTATTTACATTCATTAACTATATATCATTACAGCATACAAATGAGATTTTTCCATCCAGAATACACTGTATATTGGCTCAATCAAGCACATCAACATACAACTTGCTGTTCAGACTTTCAAATACAACACGTATGGCAAAGAAACAGCAGTTAACACCCAA